TTTTGTACATGGGTCTGTTGTTGGGAGAGTACTTGGGAACCTCAGTAAGTATAAGGCACGGCAGCTATATTTTCTAACTGGGGCCAACAGAATCATGAAACAACTGCATTAGCTTGGCAGCATGTTTCCAGCTATAGTTCAGCATACTGATTCTTACCTTCTTAAAGGCCCAAACAGCTCAGGGCCTGGATACCTGAAGAGGCTGCCACCTTCCACATGAATCTCCCTCAGTTTTATGATCTCGTTCAAAAGACCTTGTTAGAGTTCCCCACCATGTTGAGTGTGGTGGTTGGGCAAAGGGCTGCCATGTCCTGTGGCGTCCAGGATGGGGAAAGCTGTGGCCCTCCAGATGTTGTGCATTTCCATCCCACCACACCAACCTTGCCCATCTAATGGTGAGGTATTATGGGAGTTGTAGTTCTACAAGGGCTCTCCCCAGAGAAGCTTGGACTCCGGTGCCTTTTGCTCCCAGATGAGGAGCTTCTTATCTTCATTGGTCTTTAAAGATTACCGTATTTTTTGCTCTATAAGACTCACTTTTTTCCTCCTAAAAAGTAAGGGGAAATGTGTTTGTGTCTTATGGAGCGAATGCAGGCTGCGCAGCTACCACAGAAGCCAGAACAGCAAGAGGGATTGCTGCTTTCACTGCGCAGTGATCCCTCTTGCTGTTCTGGTTTCTGAGATTCAGAATATTTTTTTTCTTGTTTTCCTCCTCCAAAAACTAGGTGCGTCTTGTGGCCTGGTGCGTCTTATAGAGTGAAAAATACGGCATTTCTTTAGATCTGTTTGATGCTGGAATTTTAGTTCGGTTTTCTGGTTGCCGCTGCTCTTTCAATTGTTCGTCTTTAAACTTTAAGCCCTGTGCCAGAAGTATAGGTTGGGAATAAGCAAGCATGGCTCCCAACTGGTGACATGCGTTTCTCAGACCTTCAGACAAAACCTGTGCACCTCCCATGAGATGCAGGAGTGGTTCTTTGTTTTTTGAAAGGGGGTGGGAAGGAGCATTAATACGAACCAATGAATAGGGCCCTTTAAATAACTTCTGTTGCCCCGTCTTGCTACCCCTGCAAAAGCTACATTGGTTAGGAGCAGGGTGAAATGTTGCATTGTGAGTGTCAAAGAAGGGAAAGCGAGGAAAGCCCAGGCCCATTAAAAACCAACATGTCATCGTACTTTGATTTCTTTTCAGGCTCTGCATATATTTATTAGTTAGGGTTCACTGGCCCTACAGATGCATGGGAAAAGGCTACCTGCTATTCAGAAGGAAGAAAACCACCATTCCAGCAAACTAGATTTCTGGCTGTCTTCTGGAGACTGCCAACGCTCCCTTCTTTCCGGTTTTATTTTTATTCATTTTTCTTAAAAAGAACATTCTTTTTCACTTCGGACTCACCCCGAAACATCCCTTGATTGCAGTAAAAATGGTGGGGAGAAAAGATTTTGTAGCCCCTCAGTGACAACAGCAAGGGAAAGCACATTGGGGAATGTATGGACAGCCCTTACGCTCTGCTTCACAGGCCTCGGCACTTCAGTTCCTAACGACATTCAGCCAGCCTCGCCATAAAAGGGTTGCTGAATTCGTCTGCACACATTTCTCTTGTCTCTTGGGGAGAGGGAGATGTCTTCAGCTGCAGAACTAATTTTAATGCAAGAGAGAGAAGCCTCCTTTGGTACCTGCAGGGACCGAACACAAGAAGGAGCTCCCTAGAACAGGGATAGCCAATGTGGTACCATCAGCAGGCCATCAGCTGTGCTGGCTGGGATTGATGGGAGTTGAACGACGTCTCCCTCTTCTCCCTCTGACCACCCATCGTCGCTCCAGCACCAGTCTCCAGGCTCTGAGCCTTTGTTCCTTGGTGGGGGGGTTCCCCAGCTGGTGCCTCCCACCATTCTTCTGTGTCCAGCCATTCTGTGACAAGCAGCTCACATTGCCAATAAGAAAAGTAAGGTAAAGGTAAAGGGACCCCTGACTGTTAGGTCCAGTTGCGAATGACTCGGGGGTTGCGGCGCTCATCTCGCTTTACTGGCCAAGGGAGCTGGCGTACAGCTTCCGGGTCATGTGGCCAGCATGACTAAGCCCTTTCTGGCAAACCAGAGCAGCACACGGAAATGCCGTTTACCTTCCCGCTGGAGCAGTGCCTATTTATCTACTTGCACTTTGATGTGCTGTCGAACTGCTAGGTTGGCAGGAGCAGGAACTGAGCAACAGGAGCTCACCCCATTGTGGGGATTCAAACCGCCGACTTTCTGATCGGCAAGCCCTAGGCTCTGTGGTTTTAGACCACAGTGTCACCCGCGTCCCTCAGTAAGAATAGTAATCAATTCTAATTTCAACATTTGTATTGATATAGGCAGTCCATGTGTCCAAATAGATATCCAAATGAGATTGACGATTATAAGATGTACATTGCAATGTAGAAAGGGCAGCACAGACCTCAGACCGTTGAATAATGGATGGTGGGTGTTTATCCTTCTGATTTCGCATTATGAGCCTGATCCTGCCCATGGGTCCTTTGTGGTGCTTCCTACCAGCTCATATTATTATTATTATTATCATCATCATTATTCTTATTCTTATTATTTATTTTATTTTTAAAAACTGGATAGTCTGCTCCAGAGCTTATATGGCATGAAAGCTATTGCAGCACATAACTACCGAAGTGAATAATGTTCCCACTGAAATTCTGGGCCTCACCTAAGGGCATGCTGAGACTCATTCGTTATCTCCCCTGTCTCCCAAACTGGTGGGAATACTTACCGGATCTTGGACTCTTAATTCTGAGGGTGCCCAGGTAATTGGTTAGGGCTGATTTTTGGTGCAATGCAGCTTTTACCCTGCATGCTTAGTCGGTTAGAGCATGGTGCCGGTAATGCCAAGGTTCCGGGTTTGATCCCTAATGGGACAGCTGCATTGCAGGAGGTTGGGCTAGATGATCCTCGGGGTCCCTTCCAGCTCTACAATTCTGTGATCGAATTAGAATAAACTTTACCAAAAACTCTTGTTCAAACCCACTCATTCTCTCCCCTCCTCTCCCCCCCCCAACCCTAATAGTTATTGCAATATGCCTCCTGCCTTTGGCTCCCACATACAGAATTCCCCCCTCTTGCTGTTTCTAAATATGAGTTGGGATATATGTTAAGCTCTCTCAGCATTCAGATAATGACCACATCACAGTGGCTTGAAAGGGAGAGCTCCGAGTGTAAACAAGAAGCTCTAAGTCAGTTTATTTGGCTTGCTTCTTCACTTCCTGGAGTTCTTCTCTCCTTCCTCTCCTTTATTTTTTTTACCTCCTGTAGCAAATCTGGACCGAGACTGTTTCAGGAGTGCAGATGTAGGTCAAATAACTCCCCTGGAGTTTTGTCCTTTTGCAGCCTTATTAAGAGGGTGAAGGAGCTCAGTGAACAGCTGAGCTGGAGATTAGCCAGGAACTCTGTTCTGCCTCTCCCATCTTTTGGGAAGCACCAATATCCCTAGGCTATAGCTAGCATGCAAGGATAATTTGGGGCGGGGGGTGATTAATACATAACTCCAGTGCTTTGCTCCACTTGCTATACACATTTATGCAAACACTGTAGTTCTGCACACAGCGCAATGCAAACATTTGCTTTTGTTTTAAAAATATATTGCTTTCCTTTCCTTTATTCACCTTAAAGGAACGCCAATATTTTTATTATACAACGTCCTGTCAAAATAGAACCTTGGTTGCTTGAAGGTGTGCCCTGCAGCTAACATGGTTCAAACTTAATAATAATTAATAATAATAATAATAATAATAATAATAATAATTAATATATTTTGTTGTTTTTCCCCAAGGATAGTTCAAACTTGGAGTTTTGTAAAAGCTCCTGTACTTGACAGGCACAATAGCAGAATAGTTAAAGATTATTATTTTTTAATTGTTGCTCTCTAAACAGGAAACTGTGGCAAATGGACAGCCCACCATTCCCTTCCCAGCCCTTCTCCAGCTCTCGCTTCTCAAAGTTGAAAGCACATTTTTTCCAGGAGTTAACCACCACCAGTATTGAACTGGAATAATGAGCATGTGTAGATTGCCTTCCTTCCGCTGTAGTTTATACCCATGAATTTAGAATTAAGAAACTGGGCTCTGGCGCCCCTCTGTTGTTGTTTAAATAAATTAATACAGCATTAAGTTATTTAGGAGGCCTGTACAGGCATTGTACAGTTACCATTGTGTGAGTGGAGGAGCAAGGATGTGTTCCTTGGTCCTTACCACTAGTTGTGGTGATGGCCTCCCACTTTGAAACAGGGTTATAGACAGATTCACGGACAATAGGGCATTCCAGATGATGTTAGTAGATTTCTATCAGCCCCAACCAACATGACCAATGGTCAGGGATGCTGGGAGCTGCAGTGCAACCAACATCTGGAGGGCACCAGGTTGAGAAAGACTGGTGTATTGCTATGTATAAACTGGCTCTGCATTAGCTTGCTTGTTAAGATTGTAAGCTGTTTTTCACTTCGCTCAATATCTCAGAAAAGGCAGCTTCACACAGGTTTTGCAACATGTTTGGACTTGCTAAAATAAGTAATGAATGGACTGAGGGGGCAAATGATTGATCAACAAAATGCCTTAATGGGTTCAACAGTCCTAGTCCTGTGCACTTCAAACTTATCAGTTCACCAGTCTTTCTCCTTCCCCTTTAATGCTTCTCTAACATCTTGGCAAACCTGTTCTCTACAGACATAAGCACTGAGTGACATGTCCTGTCACTCCCTCACACAGGATGCGACTCTGCGCTTGACGGCATTTGTGCGGTGGCATTTGAGTGCAAACAAAGAACTGACAGGACACATCACTTTTGCACAAACAGTATCAGTCTCTCCTGGAAATAAATGTAAAGTGTTAGTGTCCGTTTTGGTTTCTCTTACCGTCAGAAGGACAAGTCAAAAAGCTACAGCTTAGGCACTGTATAAACCAGATGCATCTGTCACCTGTTGGTGTGCTTTCTTTCTCTTATCTTCTCTCCAACCTTCCCAGGGAGTGCTGTCCAACATCTCCTCCATCACCGACTTGGGAGGTTTCGATCCAGTCTGGCTCTTCCTCGTGGTAGGAGGAGTGATGTTCATTTTGGGGTTTGCAGGATGCATTGGAGCCCTGCGAGAGAACACCTTCCTTCTCAAGTTTGTAAGTAGCCTGTGCAGCTGGCTGTAGCCATTTCCTGCTTGAAGGACCAATTTCACGCAAAGCTGTGTTTTGATGCTGATTTTATTCACAGGCAATCCTCGTTTTGTGCGGGGTGAACATTCCATAAGCCCTCCCTGCCCCATCACATTCCACCCCTTTTTGTGGCACCTCTATGACATTTTGGGGCTACTTCTGGGTTCGGTGCCGTGCGCACGATTGCATGTCATTCAGATGCGCCTAAATCGATAGTTGCCCGTATTTACTCATTGAAATATTTATGAGCTGCTGTCCATTAAAAAAAAAACAAAAACCAATCAGATCAGTTTACAACAGTTATACATAAAATTATACAGTCAAAGAAACCATATAAAAATGTTAAAAAACAGGAATCAGGTAACTGTTATGGAAAGACATATTCTTAATTGCCCTCATAATTGTCTGATGGAATAGAAACATTTTCAGCAGGCATTTAAAAGTTCAAACAGAAGGTACCTGCTGAATCTTTGTTGGCGGAATATTCCACAATACCAGGTCAATGACACCAAAGGCTTGGTTTCTCATAGAAATGACATGCAATTGAAAAGGCAATTTAAGGAACCAGCGGGGGAGGGAAGTCACAGGATTAGGAGAATCTGGATTTGATATTGTTGTGTATAATTTTGTTTGTTGTGTTTGTTGTTGTTGGGGTGTGTGTGTGTGTGTATAAAACATTTCTCTTCAACCATGCATTGGGCTGATTAACATCCTATATAGCCTTTAAAATGTATTTGTGTGGGGTGGGGGTGTTATTGTTTTGTTTTTCTTTCCATTATGTATTTTGTCTTTTTATGCTATGAACTGCCCTGAGGTCTTCAGATGAAGGGTGGTATACAAATTTAATTAATAATAATAATAATAATAATAATAATAGGCACTAGGACTTTACCTTTTCCTTCCTTTCAAACATTTTTTAATAAAAACAAACCCTGCTAATTTTTCTATATGAGTAAAGTATTTTATAAGAGTAAATTATTTTATATTTTTGGCTGCATTCAGTTGCCGGCATATCATAGTTTATAGGGAACTGAGCAGTGCGTTAGTGTACACTACCCAATTGCCCTCACTTGTCGCCTCTTGTGTCTCAGGCTAGGGAAGCAAACGAGGCAACGGCAATTAAGCTTGGCTTCCAATTATGTCCAAACTTGGGATAAGTGTTGGTTACTCATCAACAAGCTAATGAGTAACGAACTAATCAGGCTTAAATCATAGGTTGTTGTTGCCTTACAGCTTGCAGTGGTTTATCGATTCCAATAAATGGTCATAGGTCAGCAACTATGGCTTGCAATGATGTAGGAACACTGCCAGTGTCTTTAATAAGCCCAAATATGTTGTGCCAATTGTTGACAGTGTTGAAAGTGAGAGTGCTTTTGCTTCTCACAGGCTGAAAAGGGGAAAGAAGATTACGCCCCTGCTCTAAGGCAGAATCCTCTATATTAGTGACTGGAAATTGTCCCATGTAATCCACAGTTATAGAATCAAACCTATGAAGTCATTTAGCTCCTTTCTACCTCCTCAACCTAATTGTGTGTTTGCGCATATGTTGCCGTTGACTGCCCAATTCCTATGGGCCTATTTCCAGTGACTATTTAAACATGCTTAATACTCATTCCTTCTCTCTGTGGAATCCTGGGAACTGTAATTCTATAAGGGAGCTGTGGTGGTTATAGAATTTCTAACCCCCTTGCCAGATTACAGTTCTCACAAGCCATAAAACTTCCAAGAATACTGTTATCTCCTTTGCAGTGTGAGTAGATTTGCACGCTAGTTTGTTGTTTCCTTGGGAAGGCTTGTTGGAAATGTTGGGCTTTAAATCCAAAACACCGCAAGAGTGCTGCTGGATCAGGCCAGAGGCCCACGGAAAGCTTGGAAGCAGAACCTGAGCACAACAGCTCTCTCCGCACAGCAACTGATATTATTATTCAGAGGCGTATGGCCTCTTGTCAGTTAAGCGACAACATAACCATTGTATGGCTCAGAAAGGTGAACCTAGTTAAGAAGACTTGCCTCATTTGAGGTGGGGTTGACTCCTTTGTGGCATTTGGTTTCTAGGTGCCATTTTCATCTGAGTAAACTCAAATCTGGGCTCTGTAGGTTGATCCACATGTGAAGGACCAGCCCTGGCTCGGCTTGCCTCCCCACGGCTCCAGAAGGTCACAGGAGCTCAGCTACACTGAGGGAGCCTGTCGTGGGGGCTGCCTGGCTGCACCCCCCCTCAGAATTTTGCACCTGAGGCCACTGCCCCTTTGACCCCCTCCCTGCACTACGCCACTGCCCCCTTTGAAATTAGTGGACTTGAAGTGTATTCATTTCAGTGGGCCTACTCACAAGAATGACTAATATGAGATATCACCCTATGATTCATTGGGAAGCTGAATTGCGCAACCAACTGCACACAGCTCTCCTAACTTGGTCTGATGCCTGATCCCAGAATAGTGGCCCCCAACCCTGTGAGTGGTGATTCCGCGTCTGCCACGATCAGCACACATGATGTTGTTTAGCAGCAGGCCAGCTGTGGTGCTCTGCTCTCAAAAGTGCTCATTTGGCACGGTGCCGTGTCTTAAAGATTTGTCGCGGAAGCCAAATAATCGAAGGCCTTAAAAAAATGACTTTACTAAAATTACTCCTCTTCTTCATCTTTGCAGTTTTCAGTATTCCTAGGAATCATTTTCTTCCTGGAACTTACGGCTGGTGTTCTGGCATTTGTCTTCAAAGACTGGATCAAGGACCAGCTGTACTTCTTTATCAACAACAACATCCGAGCATACAGAGATGACATTGATTTGCAAAACCTCATAGATTTTACGCAAGAATATGTAAGTGCTTTTGCTTGCTTTATGGCAGGGGTGAGGTCCTCCAGAGGTTGCTGAGCTGCAACTCCCGTCGTTCTTGATCATTGGCCATGTTGGCTGGGACTGTTGGGAGTTGGAGTTGGAGGGCCACATGTCCCCAGTCCCTGATTTTGAAGGGAATGGACCTTCCTCCGCCCCTGTTTTCATTTTCATTTCTCAGCTCTTTATTTCTGAAAGGAGCCAAGCAAGCAAAACGTTTTATGGAACAATGCGAAGCTTGTTCCCTGTGAGTAATGCGCTTATGATTGCAACTAAGCAATAGAGTAATTAACTTTATTAGGAAATGCTTTGTATTGCATCCAGGCAGGTTCTCCCGCTTTTGCAAGGATTTCTGCTTGCACGATGGAATTTCTGCTCCCTCTCCTCCTCAAGTGTGCCCACCTAAATCTGCTCTGGAGGGTTGGTGGGGGGAGTCTGTAGAACAAATTTGTGAGGTGTGCAGAGGGAGGAGAAGGAGGGAATTTCCATTGTGGTCCTTGCATAAAGGAGACTACTTAGTTGGATACAACTTTACTCTTTATGGCAATGTACTATTGGGACGCGGGTGGCGCTGTGGGTTAAACCACAGGGCCTAGGACTTGCCGATCAGAAGGTCGGCAGTTCGAATCCCCGCGACAGGGTGAGCTCCCGTTGCTCGGTCCCAGCTCCTGCCAACCTAGCAGTTTGAAAGTGCAAGGTGATAAATAGGTACCGCTCCGGCAGGAAGGTAAACGGCGTTTCTGTGCGCTGCTCTGGTTCGCCAGAAGCGGCTTAGTCATGCTGGCCACATGACCCGAAAGCTGTACGCCAATAAAGCGAGATGAGCGCCACAACCCCAGAGTCGGTCACGACTGGACCTAACAGTCAGGGGTCCCTTTACCTTTACCTTTACTATTCTTGGCCATGCTTCTTTCAGGTGACTTAATGTTTTCCCCATTTTCACGGCAGAATGAGAAACGCTAGATTGTTGCTATGCTTTCGGACCTAGAATATTTTTTTGTCCAAGGGCAAGGTTAGAAAGCCTATTGCTGGCGTTGTGAGGAAAGCAAGCCAAAATGAAACCCTGTAATGTGCAGTCCAAAACATCCTGTTCAAGACGGGTAAAGTGAAATAGTTTCCCCCCTGAAGGCTCCATAGAGTCTAGCTTTTTATTTCTACATCATAAACATCAGAAGCGTATATAGTAAAGATGGGAAGAAGCCAGTACATAGGCTTTGATTTCATATGCCCAGTGCATATAAATTCACCACTGTGGGTTGCATCAAACAATTTGCTTCTCCATGTGGCCAGCTGACTCTGTGTGGCAGCTTCCCATGTGGATTTCCTCTGCATCATCTTAAACCACCGAAAACTGTGGTTTTAAGTAAGATTGCCCCGTCTGTCCGGTCTGTTGCTGCACATACAATTTCTTCAATGAGTTTTGGGGATTTGTGAGGAATGTAGTTATACATGCACAATAACAGGCACCCAATACTTCTGCGTGTTTTTTCAACACAGAAAAAGCTTGACATGCTGTTACCCAGAACAGTAGCTTGCAAATCCACTGGTGGTTCTTGGCTTGTGTCTCAACCCTCTGGTAATACATTTTCTCCTTCTCCAGTAAAACGGCAGAGAGATCTAGCAGTAGTGGTGATTCCGCCTGTAATAACTGTTTGCTTTCCTCCAGTGGCAGTGCTGCGGAGCCTTTGGAGCAGATGACTGGAACCTCAACATTTATTTCAACTGCACAGACACCAACGCTAGCCGAGAGCGCTGCGGGGTGCCCTTTTCCTGCTGCACTAAGGATCCTGCTGTAAGTCAGCTGGCAGCGCTGCTATTCCCCGGGGAAAGCTGCTGCATGCAAACGGGAGGCTGTCTTTTATGCTAAAAGAACTCTGTGTGAATGTGTGCTGGTCCTCTTTAATGGACCTATGTCTTGCTGCCAGCTCAAAGCATGCACAAAAGCTTTGCAGTCAGGGTATCCTATGTCTGTCAATACACCTTTCACCTTCTTGAGGTGACTATTGCCAGGCTACCTGCAAGCATCTATAATGGGCTGCAGCCAGTCACCAAACTAGTTGTCTAATTGTACTAGATGAGTAATAAAGACAGTGGGGGGAAGAGGTGATGCCAGTGCTAATTATAGAGCCACAAACTCGTTTGTGTTGGCATGCTCGGGTGTCCATAATTAAGCCCTGCTAAGATGCAGCTAGCTTTGTATTAAGATTAGGACTCTAATCTGCAAATAAGAGAGATGGGATGTACTATTTAAGATACATCATCTATCGTCCCTGGTCATTGGCCTTGCTAGTTGGGGGCTGATGGGAGTCAGCTGCTGGAGGACTGCAGATTCCCTCTACCTGCTTTCAGACCATGGACATTTGGCAGGATGAAGGGAGAAATTTACCGGTGCCTTTTTGTGTTTTCTCATTTTTAGGAAGATGTCATCAATACTCAGTGCGGCTACGATGCCAGGCAAAAACCAGTAAGTCCCTGCCCATTTCACTTGGTGTAACTTCTGTGAGAGAGGATGGGAAAGAAGGTGGAATCCAAAGGGAAGGGCTGCATGGTTTGATTTGTGTGTTGTTTTTTCATTTGCTGTTCCCTCCAGGAAGTTGACCAGCAGATTGTTATCTACACGAAAGGTTGCGTCCCCCAATTTGAGAAATGGCTGCAAGAGAACCTCACTATAGTGGCTGGCATATTCATTGGGATTGCATTACTGCAGGTATTGATTGATTGCATTCATGTTCTGCCTTTCCTCTAAGGAGCTCAAGGTAGTATATGTGGTTCTCTTCCTCTTCCTTGATGTCCTTCATCTCATAGCTTTCAGTCCCACGTGGTTAATCCACGTTGCACGCTTGATGTGAAACAGGAGGAAGTGATTCCTGCTTGCTTCTTGTAAAAGCCAAGGGTTGTCCCTCTGGCAAGTAACCTAAACATGACTGGAATTAGTGGTGGACACCAACTTGTTTCCCATCTTGTGGATCTTTTGGCTTCTGTAGCTATGAGAAGCCCCTGTAGGGCTGTGCATTTGGAATGTTCCGGAAGGCCTGTGGAAGTCTGCTCCAGTATCCTTCCTGGAAACTAGGCAAGGGATGAAAAAGATCACCTGGGTGGGATTCACCTACCTAGTCCTGTCAGTGGAAGGATTCTGCTTGTGCAACAGAGCTCGCCTCCCCCAAAATTGGCTCTGGTGGAGTGGGAGAACCCCCAGGACAGCATGCAGGAGGAAGGAGAGCGAGGGGAGGTCATTCTGTCTGGCAAACTGGAATGCTTGTGTAGACAGAATGATTGGAAGAGCACAATGTTGAAGCCTGCCCTTTCGCTGTAATCCGTATCACACAGTGTTTGGGACTTTTTAATATGGAAAAAAAAGTAAGAGGGGCTGTATTGGTTGCAAGTCGCTTTGGGTTGCCGTGGGCAAGATAAAGCGACTAACAGATTTAATAAATAATAACCATGGCAGAGGTCTAAAACTGTGCACAGTGTTTTTCCTCCCTCTCTCAAAGTACTAGGGGGCATCCGCTAAAGTGGAATGGTGGGAGATTCAGGGCAGGCAAAAGGAAGCGCTTCTTCACCGAAAGCACACCAAACTTAGATGGCTTTAAAATGGGATTAGGCCAATTCATCACAGAATTGTAGCATTGGAAGAGACCCTAAGGGTCATCTAGTCCAACCCCCTGCAATGCAGGAATAAGGGCTGCTAATCATGATGGCTATGTTACCTCCAGTATCACAAGCAGCATGCTTCTGAAAGCCACTTGCTGGGAATGCCAGGTGGGCAGGATGCTGATGTCCTGCTTCCTTCCTTCCCACAGGCGTCTGGTTGGCCTCTGTGAGAACAGGATGCTGGACTTTGGCCTGATCCGGCAAGGCTATCCTTGTTTTTGTGGTTCTTGACTGCAGGCAGTTAAATCCACTTTAATGGGACAGCTCCATATTAAATGGGGTGCGGACGGCCTTCCTAGAACCAGGTTACATGGTTTCTTGGGTGCACAGATTTGACCCGCTTCCAGACAACACTTGAACCTCATGTCTTCCAGATATTTGGGATCTGCTTGGCTCAGAACCTGGTTAGCGATATAGAAGCTGTCAGAGCCAGCTGGTAAACTCGCCGACACAAGCGGCACGAGACACCGGCCAGCCTCACCTCTCGGAAAGCTCCAGTGTGTCGCGTGGGCGCCAAGTCATATGGAAGTGGGTGACAGTGAAGTCTTGAGTTCTCAAATGGCCGGAAGTGCCTCAGACCGTTGTTTATTCCAGAGGGAACAGCTCCAGCCACCCGTTCGCCGACGAAAGCTTCCGAAAGCCCCAACCCGAACTTGTGTTGAGCTGCGACTCTCTGGCGCACCCTTGACTTGAGTCTCTGGTGGATGCTCTTTTCTTCCTTTTTGTGTGGTAAATGGCCTGTGTCAGTGAGACCTCAATCGCCGCCTGGTTTACTGGGCCCCACTCTTCATTCTCCGTGTCACAAGCCTGTCTGCCGCTGCCAAACGTGAGGCAATTTCTCTCATCAGTGCACACCAAAAGGAGCGGCGTGCCTTTTCAGCAGACAGGAGTCCTGGCGCTCCCTTCTGGAAGAGAACCTGTCAAATAGAAAGCCACTTTCCCAGTCCTTGGCTCCTTCACTTACTGGCAGGAAATGAGGCTCCCCGTGGAAGCTCTGATTAAGATCTGCTCTGTAATGCCCTCTGTTGGGGACCAACCGTGTGTAATTATTTTCCAGTCTCTCGCAACCTTGTCCCACAAGGGGGAAGGGGTGAGATTTGATGTCTTAATCAACAGGTTTGAGGGGGAATGTGCCGCTCTTGTCCTCCTTCACCACTGAGTTGGCAACATGTAAGAGAGTTGGAGGATGAAGTCTCGAACCAGCTTTTTAACTAAGAGAATGGGAGGTGTGGTAAACATAAGGGGGGGGAAATACCCTACAGCGTACCAAATTTCATGAGTAAAATGGTGGAATTTGTGGAATAGCCTTCAATCTCCTTTTTGTTCTTGTATTTGAGGCAGCTGCGCAGGTGTTCAAGGTGGGCCAGCCATCTCCAGCCGGATTGCTCGCTTCCCTCCATTTTTATTTTTGCATGTAGTTGCTATAATGATCCTTAGGAGTCTACTCGGTGTGACTTGTCTGGGTATCTGTGGTTTCTGAGTAGGCTTCCACTTCCAACTTGCATATTTATTAGCGTAGATGCGGATGAGATAAGAGAATTCACAGCCCTTGTTTTGCAGTGAGAGAAATGATTTCACCTCTGTTCAAGTACCTCTGCAGACCGCTTGCATCTCTTCTTTAAAATCTCTCCCTCCCTCACGTCTTTTTCTGTGATTCAAATAGCATTAGTTTATTTAAACAGAATTTCTAAAGGCTTTAAAGAAAAACAAGTAATAATTCACAGCCTCTGTTTTCAGGGCAGGTGAAGACATTAGGATTTTGGAAGAAGCACAATACAAACTCCCTTTAGGACCACGATCCTAAATAGGTTATTTTTTTGTTCTTTTTTCTTTTTGCATGGGCATTCAGTTCTTTGTGAATGTCTTTAGGGCCTGAGTATAGGTATTTATGTTTGATTTAGATTTAAGCATCAATGAGAAGCGCAAAAGTTGAAGGTGCCTCCTACAAAAGAATTGACTTTAGCATCTCTTATCAAGGAGATGGTGTTTGACTAAGCCTGTTGCATCTGGGGTGCGAGTGGGGAGGAATCTGTTAAACTCTTTTCATTATCTGGTAGGGATAACGTGCATCTTAAGGTGGCGTGTGGGAAAAGTTAAGTTCCGGATAACCGCTGTAATTGTCGTTTTAGACACCTTAATCGGAATCGAATTCAAAACAACCTGCCTCTTTATACAAACCACCTCTTAGTTTTAGTGGATGATTGACAGCCTAAATTGACCCCTTCCCCCAAAGCTGCCATTAAAGCAGAGAATGGGGGTCCCCATGACTTATAAGTCCCTGACCATTAGCCATGCTGACCAGGCCTGGTGGGCGTTAGGATGACAACAACCTCAGACTCACAGTCCCTTTAAAAATAACAATATATTTCCTCAGTATTACCTCATTCTTAAGAGACCCAGCGTGGCTGCCTTGACCGAATATGGGACACTGGTGGGTCCCCAGCAGCTATCTGCAGTGGCTCTGCCAGGGGCATATATAAAATCTATTCTCATTGTCTCACAGTCCAGTGAGCCTCCATTACCTCCTAAGCTTTGTTTGGGCTGCTGCTGAAGGGGAAGGAAACAAACCCCTTTAGCCCTGGAGTGGCAGAATAGTGTTACGGACAAAAAATGGCAAAGTTGTGGGAGAACTTCTGGGTTTGCAGAGCTGAAGAGGCCCCATGCATTCCAGAAATGAGGCCAAACGCCCGAGAATGACATGGACGTATTCTGCCTGTAACAGCGAGTATGCAGAGGAAACATTCCTTGTGGCTTCTGCTGCTACTGTAGGTTTCTGAATAAGAATTTTTCTATCCTTCTGCTTGAAGATCATCTACATCCTTCACCAACTAGCTAGGTGTCCTCAAGATATTTTCGACAACCACTCCCGTCCGCCCCAGCCAGCACAGTTGGTGGTGAAAGCTGGTTTTGTTCTGGCTTCTCTCTGCTCCCCTTCCTTTGCCAAGCATAAGTTTATGTGACCATTTGTAACTTGGTGGTAGGTTGTGTGTGTGTGTGTGTTTGGGTGACTCTTCCTTGTCACAACTCTAAAACTTTCTTGTTAACTTTCTGCCACCATGTGGTGAGGCTTATAATGGCAACCTTTTCATAATTGCCTTGTATTGGAATTTCTGTATGCTTGACCTAAAGAGTTGTTGTCTTCTTGGTCCCAGAAGGGAGTAAGCCTAGAAACTCAGAAATTGTGTTGTGTTGCATGCATGGTTTGCATGTCTCTAGGTCCTGGTGGAAACTGAGGAATTCTAATAACCTCCCCTCTTTAATTCCTAGTGCCCTTTTTGCTGTTGCAAAGAGCTGAACGGTGTAGATTCCATCAGCTGTTTGGTGTGCGTGCTGCAGCTTTTATAACCCTGGTTAATAGCTCCTTCAGATTCCATAGGGATGAGGCATTTGCCTCTGAAATTTGGAATGTTTCGAAGAACTTTCGGACTCACTTTCTTATGGCTCATACACATTTAAGCAAGCAGTGTGCACACTATCTAATGTGGACCTGTTCTCTCCACCCCACCTGAGTCCATGACTGCAAATCAGATTTAACTGTCAGCAGGCCCCCAGCTGAAACAATAAGATGCTATAAAATGTGCGTAGAGAGAACTTAACCGTTCACTTATTAGGTTGAAAAACAAGTGTCAGAGAGCTGCCGATTGATTTGATTGATTGATTGATTGATTGTATTTCTGTGATGAATGAATTTCAAAGTGGCTTACAACCAATAAATAACCATAACATAATAAAACCTAATAGCACATCGCGAATACAGCATACATCATATACAATAATTAACAGATTATCAATAAAACAGTTGCAACAAAAAAAAAAAAAACTTAACTAAACAGCAACCAAAAAATAAGTTAAACCTCACAGTTACGGCAAGTCATGGGATTAACAAATCAATGCAATGTTTAGAATCTATAATAAATGATACTAAAAACATTAACAAAATAGCAACTAAAACTATAAGCTAAGCACTAAGTTCATTCGCACAATCTCTGCACCCCCATGACCCCCCTTTAAAACAAAACTATACAGCAAACCAACAAGACAGTAATTACTAATTGAAATAATAATTGCATTTATACTAAAACTAAACTAATCCCCAACAAACGTCCATCCCGCCCACAACTGTGTATAAAAACAAAAAGAAAAAATGAGAAAAACATTTAAAACACCATGGATTAACAAGTATTTTAAACATATTAAAACATTTTTGACATTCTCAGAGTAGGTGTGGGCCCCACCCCCTAGGCCAGGTGGAAATGGGCCTTGCAGCAGGGAGCTGTTTTCCTCCACTTTGACCAGCTGTCCCTCTTCATTCAGCTGCTGCTTATCAATGTCAGGTTGCTGGAACATCATCAATCTGCCATTTAATTCTGAAAGTATCTGCACCTGCCGACCTGGCTTTTCCCCCCTGAGAGCTGGGTGGATGAAGCTGAGAATCCTGAATCCACCCAGCTGGCCCCAGTCAGGTGTTTAGCTTTGAACCAGCCTATGGAGGAAATCTGGCCAGTACAGAAAAGACGTAGCATTTAGTATTTTCTCCCCTAGACCTCATGGAGCCATGATTCTCTCTGGTAAGTAGTGTTCTGGAAGAAGTGTCTCCTCTGGTTATTGAAGGAGGATCTTCAGGGTCGAAGCTGTCCTTCAGATCTACTTGTTCTTCCAGGTAAGAGGGCTCACGGTTCCGGCACCTCCTTAACTCACAGCGGCAGTTCACGATGTATTCCGCTTACGGCAGCCACACATTTTATTTGCGCAGTCCCCTTGGCAGGCGCACTGCAGATTTCTCCTACTGGATGTTCTGAGGAATACCTGTGGATCTTCTACTTTGACCTCAGAATATGAGTCTTCCTCATCTGTGATGATCATTTGCCTGTGAGTCTTAGATTGACTGGAGTCGTAGGGGGACTCCAGGCTGTCTGGTGCAGGGGTCCACTGGCCACTGCGGAGCTTCTGGCCACTGGCAGTCTGAACAGATGTTGGTTTTTGTTGGAGGGTTTGGAGGTCTTCATGGAGCTCATGGTTTTCCTTCAAAACCTCTGCTATCTTCTTCTGCATCTGGGTCTTCTGGCCTGCTGTTTTAGTGACGCTGCAGCTTAGTCTCCCCCCTTTTTTAAAAAAATAATCTTTATTTATTTTAAATATTAAGTCCCTTCACCACAAAAAGAACAGAAGAAAAAACAAATCACCTCACATACAAAGAAAATATTACATAAAGAATAAAGTTCTTCCATATATTGAGACTTCTGTCCTACTCAATATGGGCCTTTGTTTCATTGATAACTGCATGTTTGTATATCCCTTAACTTACCATTGTTTAACCATATTTTTTGTAGCATATAACATCGCAGAAGTTATTCAAAGCATATCAAAGAATTCATCTGAGAACAATGTTCTTTTACATATAATCTGAATATATCCCATTCTATGTTAAACCTTTGGTTTGACTGATTCTCAATTTTTCCTGTCATCTTTACCAATTCTACATATTCACATAATTTCACCAGCCATTCCTGTTTAGTTGGTATTTTATCTCCCTCCCACCATTTAGCTGTTAACATTCTCACAGCAGTAGTTTCCCACATAAATACCTTTCTGAGTTACTTCGGGATATCTTCAGCAATGATACCCAAAAGAAAGGCGTTTGGTGTTTTTTTTTAAATGAAAGTTAATTTGAACATTTTTTTATATAAATATAAATAATTTCCCCAAAGTTTTTTTTTTCTTTTTACATTTTCACCACACGTGGTACATTGTTCCCTCTGCTTCTTTGCATCTCCAGCAAAGATTTGAGCTGGTTTTATACATTTTTGTCAGCTTGCTTGGTGCAATATAACATCAATAGAACATCTTCATGTAATTTTTTTTTTAAGGTATAGCGAGCTGTAAACTTTTTAGTCATTTCTCCAAAGTTTACCCCAGGATGCCATCTGAATATTATAACCAAAATCTTTAGACCACTGAATCATCACTGATTCAACCTCCTCCTCTATCACTTCCAAATCCAATAGCAGTCTATACATTTTAGAAAGTAGTTTATTCTTATTTTGTAGTAGATCTTTCTCAAGTTTTGATATTTCAATAGCATACCCTTTTATTTTATCTAATTTAAATGTCATTCAGTTGATGGTACTGTACCCAATTAGTTAGGTGGTTTCTAATTTCCTCAAACTTTTTCAGTTTTAGCTGTTCTTCCTCCTCAAGTAGTTCTTTATAAGTTGTCCAGTTTTTCCTCATATTCTTTTTCTTTGCTGAAATTGCCTCTAGTGGTGATACCCACCAGGGCATCTTTTGCTCTAGCAGGTTTCTGTATTTACCCCATACCCCATACAATGATCTTACTATGCGATTCAAAAAACCTTTATGGACTTTGACTTTTTTGTAACACAGATACGTGTGCCACCCAAATCTATTGTCAAAACCCTCCAGATCCAACAAATCTATATTTTGTAAAGTCAGTCATGTAACCAGCAGAAGCAGGACGCCTCATAGTATAGCTTTAAGTCTGGCAGGGATAAACCACTTCTGTCTTCAATGTCTATAAACAATTTGTTAGATTCTGGATCCCCCCCCCCCGCCAGATGAACTTTGATAGGTCTCTTTGCCACTCCCTGAAGTGTCCCGCCCCACCGACAACCAGGAACAACTAGAACAAAAACAGCATCCTTGGCAGAACATTCATTTTAGTTGCAGATATCCTCCCCCAAAACGAGAGATTGTCTGCCCAAAATCTCTTAAGTCTTTCTTTAATCTCTTTCCACATCTTTAGATAATTATCTTTAATAGATTGATATTTTTCGCTGTAAGCCAAATTCCTAAATATTTAACTTTTTTACTTGTTATACCAGAGATTCTTTGTAATTCAGTTCTATCTTGTTCTACCATATTTTTCACCAGCAGTTTAGTTTTGTTGTTGTTGTTGTTGAATATAAAGCCTGCCACCTGGCCAGAATCACTAATTCTTTCCGAAATTTTGGGAGATTCTCTTTCAGATTTTCTGTTGTGATTATGAGATAATCTGCAAAGGCATTTAATTTAAATGATTTGTTCCCCACCATTATTCCTTTTATACCTTTATCTCCTCTTATTCTCCTTGACAGGATCTCCAAAACTAGTATAAACAGTAATGGAGACAAGGGACACCACTGTCTTGTTCCTTTCGTTATTTTGAAACTTTGTTATTCCATTGTTTATAATTTAGCTTGCTGATTGAGGTAAATCGCATTAATTCCTTTGCTAAAATTTTCCCAGTCCCATTGTCTTTTTCATGAAGTTCCATGAGCTTTTATCAAATGCCTTCTCTGCATCAACGAACATTAAAGCCGCCTGTTTATCAGTCCTCTCCTCCAGGTGCTCCAACATGTCTATTTCAATTCTTATGTTGTTTTTCATTTGGCATCCCAGAAGAAACCCCGCTTGATCTTCATGAATTGTGTCCTTCAAAATCCTTTTTAATCTATTTGCCAAAATGTCCGCAAAAAGTTTATAGTCGTTATTTGAGAGGGAAATCAGTCGATAGTATTGTACTAACATTAGATCCGTACCTTGCTTGGGGATTAATGTTATGTAAGCATCTTGCCATGATTCTGGCAATTTACCTTTATTTAATATCTCATTCATAACATCCTTAAGAGGTTGTAATAATTGCTCTTCTAGTTTCTTATAATAGCTGGTAGTCTGTCCGGTCCTTGTGTTTTCCCAAGTTTCGTCTTAGAGATTGTGATCGAGGAGTTTAAATGTGTGATTTTCTCTCTGGGAATCTTAGGGAGTGTGCTGCCAAACATAGTAGTTCTTTCCAAGAATATCAGGACAAAAGGAATGAGGAGGTGGAAAGGGAACCAAAACAGTTTTATTAACAAATAAACAGCAGACATGCAAAGCATAAAATAAAACATACCCGACAGGGGCTACCCAATCTCCCCTTCAGCTGGAGCACCAGCTAGAGCAGCAGGAGAAAGACCCTGACCCTGAAAGTCTTCTAGCATCAGGTCCTTTGATCTGGGTAGAACCTCACCGGGCCCCTCCCCCTTTTATAGCCTGCCTTGATGTAATCAAGTACGCCTGGCGTTACTCATGATTAGCCCAGGACCCTGTGGTGGAATTAATACAGAGCGGCTGAGAGTCTCCCACTACCTGCAGCCGGGCATCCAGTCAGCACTTGCAACACAGAAGAACCCAAGAAACTCCCGACAGGTGTGTGAAACACAAGAATCCAGCAGACCTCAAACTGGGGATGTGAAAGGGACATGCCACCTAACTCCTCGAAATACAATTGTCTTCCGCATTTCCACTACAGGGAGGTTATTTTGTTTTAAACATTCTATTTTTTCTTAATATTATTCTCCTGCTTGATATAAATCCCTAAAGTAATTTACAATTTTTTTTACTTAGCTTTTGGTTCATTTATAATCCCCCCCATCCAGTTTATTTATCACCTTTTCACTCTGTTTTTTCTTTAATTGCCAGGCTAGCATTCTCCCCGGCTTAGTAGCAAATTCAAAGTTCCTTTGTTTTAACATTTTAATTTTCCATTGAGTTTCCTGATTCACAAGTATGGAGTATAGTGTTTGTAATATTTTAATATTTAGTTTTGCTGTTTCATTTCCTGGATTTTTAGCTAATTCTTTTTCGTTATCTCCTCCAAAATTTTGAAGTGTAGGAACTCATCATGACAGCTGAGTCATGCTTGGAAGGGGAGCCCAAACTCCGCAAGATGTCTGTGGTGTTACATACAAAGACATCAAACAGTATTACTTGGGATAGCACCCAATTTATAAGGATCAGCGTGACTGCTATCCTGTGTTTATGATGGAAGTGAGCTCTGTTGAACTCCGTGGGGCCTCATTTTGACAGCATAGATTCTATCTGTAAAACACATTGAGCTTTAACAAAAGATGGTCAGCCAACCACCTTGGGGGTCTCCCGACATTGCTGAACTACAACTCCCATCCTCCCCAGCAAGTATGGCCAGTGGGAGTTGTAGTTCAGCAGCGTCCAGAGGGCCGAAGGTTTCCCAGAAAAGCAAACCATCTTGAAAAAGTATCATGCTGATTTAGACGCCTCACGGGGGAGAAAAAAGGTAGAAAGTACCCAGCCTCTGCCTCTTTACTTTTCTAATTATTTGTCCCCTGTGCCCATCGGACAATTACTTGGAAGTTTCATTTAATACCTTGCTAGAAAGTCTCATGCAGCACCAGAGAGAGGAGGGTGCGTCACTTGGGCAGATGTCATTGTTCTTGGTCTGAAGAAGGCCGTGTATTGATAAACAGTTGTACCCTATCACTTGGTTCTATTTCCAATCGAAAGTATGCATCCCGGGAAGACAAGGCAGAGGAGAACTTTATTTCCACCAGAACCAAAAGCAGAATAGCAAGTGGAACCTGCGAAGGAAGGAGTGAGCCTGCTGCAACATGCATCCCACTGCAGCCTGCCAGGCAGATTTTCCTTTCTGCCTTCGTGTCTTTCTTATAACCATATGTATTTTTTCTTTGAAAGGGAGGAGAGATTCAAGCAGGGTGAAGGACATTTGGATCTGGCAAAGGGATAATTTTTAACATACCTTAAAATAAAAGGGGAGAAGGAATTGGGGTGTGTGTGCATGCTAAAAGAGTCCAAACCACGTGTCTTCATTGTCCAAATGCTCAGATACAAATCTTGACACCTGCAGTGCCTCAACCTCCCAAATCGATTCTGCAAGTTTTGTGTGTCGTATTTGGGGCTGAGTAGCTTGGCTGTTAGAGGCAAGCGTGTCCACCTGCTTTTCATCTCACTTCCCTGCTCATCTCTCCTCACTCCCCCTCCTCCACAATTAGCACCAAATAAATAAATAAATCCCCAGCTACAGAGATGCAAGTTTGAACACCACCTTGTCTTCTAAACACTGAAAGTCTGGGAAGCTTGTTGCTTGATGGCCAGATCCAAGAGGCCTGATTAACAAACCACATATTTATGTGCTGCCTGCCAGCTTCGTCAAGTTAGCTCTTCAGAGACCTACGCACCTGCAGTTCCTGGACAGTATTGTTATGGAGTGACGGTGGCTCCGTCCCATGTATGAAGTCCAAAGAGCCACTTTCAGAGGCCCCCAATTATAGATCTGTGTTCTCTCCACTGTACAACCTGCTTTGTTGGAGTTTTGTTACTGCTCTAAACCTTTGGTTAAACAACTGACACATGTTGAGAATACTGCATTCTGAGGGATACATCTTGATTTGAGCTTTCCTGTTCCAGAAGCTCTCTTCCTGCCAGAAGCTGCGGGAAATGCTTTCCTCTTCGATTCTCCCCTTATTATTCTCTGAGCAGAGTCTTACTTTCAGCTAAAGTTGTCAAACCAAGACTTGGGACCTTTCCAGGTGCCATGCGGCGTGTAAATAATTTTTGAACTGTAAATAGTAGCATGCAAATGATCTGATCCACACTGAGGATTGCAATTCATCTTAAATGTGTATTTATACTGAGAAGGTTGTATGAGGTGAGTTTGCCTGTGTGTTTGAAAAACTTAAAAAGCTTTACATATCTAGCAGATCATGCCTGGAATGCTTTAATATGCTGCCATCTAGTGTCTCCCTGGTAAAACTGCAGCTTAACAAAACTAGTTAAGACTGGCCTAAAAATATTTTTTTGGGATGTTTGTTCTAGAGCTGCTTTGAATCCCCTCTTCTGCCCACTTTGTGCAGGGATTATATTGTCAGCTGCGCCACAGGAGCTTTGTGTTCTGATCCACCACCCCCAAAATGAATATTTCTGCTGGTCCCGCTTACCAAAGACGCCGAAGAGAGAACATTTTGATGGGAATGTTGAGGTCTCCTGAAAATGCCTGCCCACTAATGGCCGTAATGCAAAGCACAATTCAGCAGACTTGTGGGTGGGCCGGAGCTCTCTCCCAGCCATCATCTTGAGTGTGCATCATCTATGCTTTGGTGCCATACAAAGAGTGCTCTCCTGGAAAACGGGGACAGGAGGGGGATATTATACCTTTGGGGTTGCCACTGCTTCTTTTACTGCTCTGGTCCAACATGCCATAAATTCAGCTGCCACAGTTTTGCCCCCATAGAAGCCTATGTGCCTTGCATGTTCCCAGCCATGGGGATCTTTCTGCATTGCAGAAGCGCCGGGGACTCAGCAGCCTAATCTATTGGCATGAGTGGTTTTTGAGGATAGGTTGTGCTGCCTGAAGAGAAAAGCTCCATTGCTTGCAAGAAAGCCTCAAGTCTTTTGAGTGCATGAAACTTGCCTTGATGGAACACATGCTGTTAGGTTTCTTAAGGAGCTTAATACCAACTCTTTATGCTTTCTGGCACCATAGAGTTATCTGTCTTAATTGTACACAGCGTCATCAGAGCATATATGTATATCATGGAGGGTTCTTCCCCCCCCCCCCGCCTTGGTGGGCAGGGTATGTCAATGTGTAGATCCTGAACGTGTGTTTCAGACACAGCCATTTGCATGGACGTCAATGTATTGATGTACAGGTAGAAAATGTTACACAGGTATTTTCCAGTGGATGTTGCATTAAATCGGGAATGGTAACGACAAACATCTCCTGCAGATGGCCTGGGGTTTGTGGTTCAATCTCCTAATCCAGAGAAGCAGAATTGCCAACCCCCCCTTTTTTTTGGCATCCAAAAAAATGAATGCTTGCACCCAGATTTCACTCTTATGTGGTGGCCGTGGTGGAGGCACGTGGCATGCAAGATCTTCAGCTTGGGTAAGCACTGAACCTGGCCTCTTTTCTCCTGCAGTTCTGCATCCTTAACCCATGCCTCTCATTGCTCGTAGATTATCATGGGCAAGAAGCAGTCCACTCCAGGGTCTTACAGGGTGCCCCCAAATTGCCTTGGCTTTGTGAGAACGTTAGGATTGGCTTTCTATTGACACCGTGTACTTTGAGCCGAAATTGATGGGAGAGATAAAGAGTGTGTATACTCTTGGTAAGGTGACTGCAAAAAGGCTGCAGTCCTATGCAATCAAGCACCATTGACCCCCGCAGGGATTGCATCGGACCAGACGTGCATAGGATTGCACTGTTATAAAGCTTTGTATCCAAACCAATGCAGGTGCTCCTTAGGGTGTGAATGATTAAAATAAGCTGCACCTGCAAGCGTCTCGCCGCATAGTCTGTGCCTAGGGAAACTGAGTCTCAAAGAAAGGTGTTCTCTCTCTATACTAAAAAAAAACACGTCGATTGGGCATGGGGGATCTGCGACTTTGTCTGGTTTTCAAACATTATAAAAATGCTTGCATCACTTCCCTAAATCATTGCACGTCGCAACGAAGGGCACTACTGTAATTACCGTTGTGTTTTTTCTTTTTCTACGAATGTATTTTCCTGTATTGAAAGTCTTGTAAGTCGGAAAAAATTGATTGTAAAAAGCCAATTACACTTACTGATGATGGAAAGTATTGTTATAACAGAATTGCATGCTGGTACAGTTTGACTGAGGTTGTGTCGTCTCCTTCCCAGTTGGTCACACTTGGTCTAGAAGTGGATATATTTTTGTTCAATTGACATTTCCCCTTCACAATAGAATATATGGTATATAGTACATAGCCCATGCGAATTTCAGTGGATGTAACTGGACTTATACATGAAGTTAACACAACCTCTTTGTGTTAGTTTTTAAGGTATTGAAAGTGGTCTTCATCATGCTCTTTGTACCTTTTTTTTAAAATAGATGCGATTTTTAGGAATGTTTTAATACATTTATGATGGACAACATAGTTTTACTAGTTGTGCAGTATTCTGTATTTTACTTGAAGTAAATCATTTTATATGCAATTTGTTAGTATAATTACAGTTTTATAAATAAAATTGAGTGACATTTTGGGTCTACTTTTCACTCGGATGTACAAAAAAAAATATGTTCTGCTCAGAGCTCTAAACCCGTTGTGTTAAAAAGGAGGATCAGATCATAGTTGTTACCAGGAAAATAAAAATCTGTTACAATTAAGCATTGTAGAATTGTGCACCCTTTGGTGAATGTGGCTCTGCTCAGGGTGTTTGTGTGTATGCTGAAATCCCGAGGAAGGGAAGAAGTGCCGCAGAATGTGGCATTCAGCTCCTTGAGGGTCTTTAAAGCCAAGTTTCTAGTGCCTATGGAGCAAATAATACTTGAAAGCATGACCGTGCCTACTGAAATCTCAGATCGCAGATGACTTGCTGTGGTCAGAGCGCAGGGTTTTCAGCGTGACTAGCAATAGTAGGCTAAATTCTGAAAATCAATAATGAAAGCAAATACAATCAAATCTGCATAATTTACACAGGTCAGAGTTCAGCTATTCACAGATTTTTCTTTCCGCAGATGTGATTATGAATGGTGTGCCTAGGAAGTGAGATTGCTCATCTTCCTTGTTTCTATTTCAGAGGAACAGCCAGCTTAGTGATTGATGCAGGTACGTCCTCAGCTATAACTGCTTAAGACAAGAGAAGCTAAGTTGTGGGGGGGGTTTTTAGACTCATTCCCACCCCCAGATACACGAATTGCTGCACAAAGGAACAACACGCAAGGTAAAGTGTGAGCGCACTGGAGTTTATTTGTTTACCTCTAGGTACCATGGGGTTGACATTAATATGCAAGACCAGTGAGTGAGCAGCAAGACTCCCTTCCCCAAAGAGGCTCCCTCCCCATTTTCTGAAACCCCTGGCAGTCCAGCCCAGCCTTGCTGCCTCCTGTGCTTTGTCCCTAAGTTAGCAGTACACTTGTTACGGAGTTAGGGGTACGAGGGGAGGAGTCGTTGATGTAGTAGTACCACGTCTCTCTCTCTCTCTCTTTTTTACATTATTATAGGACTACAACATGCACATTCTACTATGTGGCTCAAGCAACGAGAATACATGTAGAACAATTAACAGGGCTAGGAGACATTTCGTGTTTGTGTGTAAGAGAGACAGGATCCATGTTGATGGCGACTGGCTATGGGGTTTATAGAAATCTCGGTTGTGGAGAGAGAGAGGTACCTACAGCAGTTCGATCCGTGTGGGAATGTTACATGCATGCACAAGTGACACAGTGGGTGGGAGAAACGCAGCAGGACAGGACGAGAGGTGAAATCGGTGACGCGATGCTAGGTGGGAGCGCGGGTACCCCTTTCCTCAGCTTTCCACGGCGAGTCTCTGCTCTGTGAGGGAAGCCTGCTGGGCGACCGTTTTGTTCTCGTGGCTGCGGAGTTTTGATACGACGTCTAGAAAGGCCAGGCTCTGCACTTCCTTGTGAAGGAGTTCTGTCAAACAGAAGCGAGACGGTTACTTTCCTGCTGGGCCTTTATGTGTGCAGCTGCTCTTTTGTTTGCCTGTTCTGGGGAAGCGGCAATGAACAGAGGCCTTGTCAACTTGGCACAACGCGGTCGCCAGAGAATAAGTGGCGCTGGTGGCTGCAAGCGGTACTTTTCAAGCATCTTAAATTTAGGGAGCCCACACACACACTTTCCACCTCTGCATATCATCTGCAAGCAAATGGGATCTGTCTTAGTCTTGCAAGGGAGGCCTAGCAAATGTGAGTTGATGTGTGAAAAAATAGGTGACCGTGTGCAAGTTTCTGCTTCTGCTTGCGGTGTTGTGTGGGCAGGAGATGGACCCCCTTCTGTTTTCTTGCAGGTGTGTGCAGTGTAAAACTACTACGTGGTCCCTGGGCTGTATCAATGCATCAAATCTCCTTAAAAGGAAATTGCAGTTGGGGCCTATCAGAGGTTGGATGGGCTCTTAGGCCCAGCCACCCTCTCTACAGGCCTGGTGCTGCTTCTAGCTCTGGTTGGCCATGACTGAGGCCTACGAGGGCCAATATCTGGTGCAATATTGTCTTGTCTGAGAGGCAGCAGCTCTCCAGCATTTCAGGCAGAGTGTCTCCTATCATTCCCTATTGTCCACAGCTTCCAGGAATTGAATCTAAGGCCTTTTGCACCAACCTGTGCTCTACCACTGAGCCTCAGCCCTTCCTTGAATAAGAGTAATTGGATGATGCTGAAATTAAGCCATGCTGCATACAGAGTGAGGCTTGTGTGTAGTGCAGGGCTTCTGTGACTCCTTCCCCTTTGGAGCTGGGGTGTTGTTAAAGGGGCCACCAATGGGAGAAAGCACCTTATGCAATTAAAAGGGTCCGCTCTCTGTCACAGGACGTGTCCCCTTCATGAGACTCTACCTAACAGAGCAGCCTCCCCAAGCATTTTGTGCTACATCTCCCCTAAGTCCCACCTCACACAACCTGCTGGGTAGGTCTGCTGAGAGCTGTAGTCCTAAACATCTGGCTGGGGAAGGCTGCAAGAGAGACTTGCCTCAGCACCCTTTCTTGTGTATCGTGAACATATAGTGGAGAAGCAGCCTTTCCATGTTTGGTACCTGAATAAAGTATGCCTTTTCAAAAAAAGGGGAAAAAAGCAAGCAAGGATCCAGGCGGTGATTTTTGCTACAGCTTAAATGGTGGTTGTAATTAAAGCAACTTGCTCTGTTCTTCTTAGCACAGTCCGTGTTGGCATCTTAGTTATGTCAACAAAGAAGAAATGGAACAAACGATGCAAGCGCACAGTACTCAAAATATTTGTTTTTTGAGTAGAGATCTAGAGGTCTGCTCAACACTGCTGGAAGTTGCCTAATTTAGTTGTCATGGTCGGGGGAAGATGAAAAAGCTGCTTTAGGCGCTAGGAGGATACCAGGGTTGAGGTAAACACACGACGCTTATTCTACTGGGGCTTGCTTAGGCAACAGCACAGGCTGCTCACTAACAAAAGAGCTGTTACAAATCAATTCTGTTACCCTACAGAGCCTCTTTCCCCCCCAAGTAGCAAACTGCGACCCTTGTTTTCCTGCCAAGTTTGCTGGTCACCTGCTTTCCAATCCGCCATGGCATCTGAACTCCCCTCTGTGCGACCATGAGCAGAGCGGAAAACACCTAAAAGCAAGCTTAATGCCCCCAAAACATTTTTATTCCCCACACAATCTAATGGAAGCAGCGTTTCCTATCCAGGCTATTCTGCTGCGTGAAGAATATGCTTCCTACTTCCAGGATAGCTTGATATCTTCCGCAGGTGTTGCTCTCTGGGTATTAATAGGTTCTAGTGACAGACCAAGTCCCGGGCCTCTCTTCTCACACTCATGCACACAGCAATGACTGTGATGGCAATGAATGCTCTCCTTTCCTTTCATTCTTTTGACGTTACATACACATTTACATTCCCTATTATCTTCCTTCAACATACAGCGTCTGTTGGAACAGCAAAGCTCTCTGATTTGCAGAGGCAGCAGCAAACCCAACAGAAAGAATTCTTTGTCAAGACTGAAGGCTCCAATGGCTACAGCACGTATCCCAGCTACCTAGAATGGTGGACTGACTGCAGTCTTTGTGGTGGGGATGGGTGGTTTTCTAAAGGGGCGAAAAGGATTATTTTAAGGTTGATACAAAAAACACCACACGTCGGCAAGGGAGACAGCAGGTTGGTCAAGCGGCCCACCCCACCCACCCCCAATTTCATAGGACTATTAAGAAGCAAGCCCACCTCGCGGGAGCTGCTTAGATGACAAGCTAAAATGAGAAACCCAGACTTGTTGGAAAAATAGCGTAAACTCTCCCCCCTTTTAATGAGATGCTTTCTAACTGCAAGTCAGTGTTGGGCTGAGAGGGGCGACCCTGAATAGGAAACAGTCTTTATATCAGTTGGGTGATTGGTACACCAGGAACCTATGGCTCTCCAGATGTTCATGGACTCCAGCCCCCATCATTGCTGACCACTGGCCATGGTTGTTGGTGCTGATGATGGGACTTGGAGCCCAAGGACAGCTGGAGCGCCACAGGTTCCCCATCCCTGGTTCACAGTAGCTCTCCAGGGTTTTAGGCAAGATTTTTTTCACTCCCAGTCTTACCCAGAGATGTCAGGGATTGGACGTGGATTCTCTTACAGTGGTACCCCGCAAGACGAACGCCTCGGAAGACGAAAAACTCGCTAGACGAAGGAGTTTTTCGTTTTCTTAGCCGCTTCGCAAGACGCATTTCCCTATGGGCTTGCTTCGCAAAACGAAGCTTGCCCCGCAAGCTCCGGGGATAGCGGGGAAGCGCAGCGCGTCTTCCCCGCTGTCCCCGGACCTCTTTTGAAGCAAGGGGCGGCGGGGAGAAGATCGCTTCTCCCCGTTGCCGCCCCTTGCTTCAAAAGAGGGGACAGAGGGGAAGGCGTGCGCGCCTTCCCCTCTCTCCCCGGACCCCTTTTGAACCAAGGGGCGGCCACGGGGAGAAGCGATTCTCCCCGCTGCCCCTTCCCTTGCTTTAAAACAGGTCTGGGGACAGACCCCGGAGATTGCGGGGCAGGCAACGGGGAGAAGCAATCTTCTCCCCGCTGCCCCTTGCTTTAAAACAGGTCCGGGGACAGAGGGGAAGGCGTGCGGCGCTTCCCCTCTGTCACCGGACGGTCTCCATAGGAACGCATTGATTGATTTTCAATGCATTCCTATGGGAAACTGTGCTTCGCAAGACGAAAAACTCGCAAGAAGAAAAAACTTGCGGAACGAATTAATTTCGTCTTGCGAGGCACCACTGTCTATGCAAAACACAAGCTTCACCACTAAGCTACAGCCCTTCTCCATGGGTCTGAGCAAACGCACCATTCTTATGCTTTTGTTTTGTAATGAATGCTGTAGATAGAAGAGATACTGAAACCATATGGACCAGTCCTCATATTTCATTGGCATACCAGTAGGTCCATACTTTATGCTAATAGTTTCAGGGATTGGTTTTCTAATACAGAAGCACCAGTCCAGCTAAAGTTAGTCGTAACTATGGAGTGGTCTACACAGAGTCTAATGGTAAGGTCTCATGGAGGTAGAATGTGCTTTTACTTCAGACTAGAGGAGTGGGATCACATTTTGGTGCTGAGCTCACATTTGGTGCTGACTTTAAAGCCCTAAACGGCCTCGGTCCAGTATATCTGAAGGAGCGTCTCCACCCCCATTGTTCTACCCGGACGCTGAGGT